CATGGATAATACTGCGTGTCTTAAAAAATCTCTCATAAAATTTTAAAACAAAGTATGTTATACTCATCGTATAAATATGTGTGGCTTTAGGACTATTCCACACAGACATATATTGTAGAATAAGATATCAACTTGAGTGTCTGTTCCAAGATGTTGAATTAGGTGTTGTAATTCTTAGTTTCGACACATTTTTTAGGTCAAGGTAACCAATGGTGACACTTTTCTTAGTGGTGCATAATTTTATGGTGCACCTCTTGACTATCTGAGTAAGGACATGTTAGCACTACAAAGGCTCAGAAAAGCTGCTGAGAAGGCCAAGGTTGAATTTTTCTCCACTGTGCATACTAAAACCTATGTCCCCGTTTATCATTGCCGATGCTTTTGATGCAAAGCAATTCAACATTACCATGATCAGATATAAGTTTGAGTCTCTTGTGAGCAATCTCATAGAGGGACTCTCATTCTTTATGTGATCTGCCTCAAGGATATTGGCAGGACGATGGACCCATGTTGGAATGTCGTACCAAAAAGTGTCCACGTTTTGTCCACGATTTATTTCCCATGAATACATACGGGTACTATGATAACACTAACTACACCAAATGAAAGATTAGAGAGAATTTGCATTGCCTCTAGAAGGATTTATTTATTAAGTTCTTTGGACTCTACAGGTAGTTTTGAAATATCTGTTTGCATGTCTTACCTCGTATCCTAATTCAAAATTTTGTAGTTTAATTAGAATATTTAGGTGATTGTATATATATAATATTCAATACAAGAATAATCTATGCATGATCTTCTTGAAAGATTCTACAGTGTAAAGACATCTTCGTTTTTCATGTATGCCTGTGCTAATGCTATGATAAAAACAAAAGGACAATATATCAATTAAAAAATAAAAACAAAACTCATGCTCAAAGTCAAAGAGATAAATTATGGATGCTTGAATTTTGTCATCCATTATCTACCGTTGTGACAAGAAAGATTGGCATTAGGCCAACTCCTTTTGATTATTTACAAACACATCTGAAAGTTAACATGTGGGTTGTGGGCCGTGGGCATCAAATCAAAACAACAAAAAGAACATGGATTCGACCATAAGTAGCATTTGCCCTCCTTTTTTTTGAAAAAAAGAAAGGTACTGTAGAGTTACAGGATTGTCAATCTTATCAGCACCATCAATTTTTGGCAATTGTAGAACTCAACCAAGACACCCATTGAAGTGCTATATCCCTAGCTCGCAACCCAATTAAGAGTAAGTTCTCGCAAGCCTAGCTCCCCAGCTATTATTAAACTGCATGAAGGGCTCTGAAATGAAGACCACTATTTGAAAAAAGAGTAAATGATTATTGTTTCCTTCTATGCATGATTGTTTCCTTCCATGCATGATTATTCTTTCATTCCATGCATGATTATTGTTTCCTTCCATGCATGATTGTTTCCTTTCATACATGATTATTGTTTCCTTCTGTGCATGATTATTGTTTTCTTCCATGCATGATTGTTTCCTTCCATGCATGATTATTGTTTCCTTCCATGCATATGGCCTCAGGTGATCGATTTGTTTCCTTCAAAGCAGGCGGGGATAGCAGGGATGGCAGTTTCTTTTTCTATCGTGCGGGGTATCGCACGGCCAGAAGGGAGGAGCGACAAAAAAAAGTCGCACCAAAAAATTGTCTTACTTTTGTCCTTTTTAGTCGTAGGAGATAACATATTTTTCTGTGATGTCAACTATATCATCGATAACATTTTGTTTTGAGTTATGCAGTGTGTTGGGGGGACGCCCTCAACGTGCCACCTCATCACAGCGTCACCCAGGACTGGACCCTCGACCGCTCTCTTACCTAATTCTAAGGGAGCAGCCAGCGTTGCTTTGGCGGGCGTAGTTTGCCGATTACCCTCGACAAGACCATCACAATCCCTCACCGGCGCCCCCGGCGAGGGGCGCCTCGTCTCTTTGCCCTTGCAGGCCGAAGGATGGCTCGTGGAACTACGAGCCTGGTGGAACCCACGCAACCTTCCCGGAAGCGATGTCTCTGAGAAACGGAGGATTATGGTCCCCTAAGAGGAGCTTCGATGACGTCAGCTGTGTGGTTGGGAACCGGAAGTTACAAACAGCCTGTTCGCTGGTTGGTTTCTGGGCTGATAAGTCCGGCTAGTGCTGGTTTGTTGTGAGAGAAAAATACTGTACCATGCCTGATAAGCCCTAACTAAAACAACAAGCGAACAGGCTGAAAGACTGCAATACCCCCATGCGCTTGTAAAAAAGTCCTTGTTCCACCCTGGGTCAAATGTAATTTTGTCGTGCCCCGCCTATAAATACCCGGTAGGCACTACGGTTATAAATGATGAATTAATGGTCGTTTACTCTCGATTTTATCGTTGTCCCATCTCGTTGCGCTTAGGGCATGTACAGCGCGTCTGTGTCCTGTTTATTTTAAAAAAAGGACCCTGTGAACGAGCAGACGACCTGTCTCCGTCGTTTCACGAGAAGACAAGCGTGGCTCGTGGTGCAAGGAGCTCTCGTCTATCCGGAGTCGCGTTGTATGGCGAGTCGACGAGCAGGAGGCTCCAGTACCGCGCGCGCACGCGGAGAAGTTGAGGGCGCGCGGGAGATGGATTTTGCATGCCAAATCCACCGCCTCCTCCATATATTCTTCTTTCTTCTCGGGTATCTTCAGCACCAGGGAGATGGACCACCACCGCACGCCACCGGATTCAGGGCAGAAGAGTACGGGCACGGCGGCAGCGGCGGCGTTGGGAGTGGCGGCGGGGCGGAAGGGCAAGGTGAAAGCAGCAGGTCGTGGATCCAGCTAGGCGGCGGGCTTCATCCCCGTTGGCCGCAGATCTGGCTCGCCGGGCGGCCTGTTCCCCGTCGGCCATGGATCCGGCCCGGCGGCGCCTCTCTTCCCCATCAACGGCGGCAACGGCGCAGCGTTGGCATCATCATCCATGGCTGCATCCGGCGCGACCGAATCCTCCCCTATCGGCGGCTTCACTAGCCAAGGCGGTGGTAGCTTCGCCGGAATTACATTGCTGCCTGCTGGATTTCCATTCCCTCCATCTCCATCTCCGGCTTGGTGGGGCTCGGACGGCGGTAGTCCAGCATCTTCCTCATTTCAGCGTTCAGATCCAACATGGTAGGCACCCTTCTTTTTGTAGTGATAAGATCCAATTTCAGCGTTCAGATCCAATTTCAGTGTTGAGCAATTATTAGGTGCCTGCCGCTTGCCAGTTCTGCCTGCAGCCGCTTTATTTGCTAGTGATAAGATCCAACTTGTGCTTCATGGTAGTATTTGATAGCATCATTTTTGTTCAACATATTTTCTTTGTCAATTCGACACATGCAAATAGGAAAACCAATATATATTACTTTGCAATTCCATTTGCATTTTCTTATTGGACTATACAAATGCTAGCATGTAGCGCCCCGCATTTTCACTACCAAGGTAAAAATGCCGGCTTAAGGATTATTACCCGACAAAGCGATGCCTTCTCGAATAATCACCCTAATCAAAGTGTCGCAACAGAATAATAGTTAGGACCTTACAAAATTCGTTACATTTAATGAACAAAAATTATTGAACATTACCTAATAGAAAAAAACGACACCATCACATTATACTTGGAATTTATTTGCATCATGTATTTCTCCTGTGGCTTCCTTTAGGTCATGTGCTTGACATATCTCATCATCATAGGTTATCTCTTTTCATCTGAAGGGGGAGGGTTAATAGCAAGAGTGAGTACAAAGTACTCAGCAAGCAAATAATAAATCAATGAAATGTAGGCCTAACCATTTGTCATATCCATTCTCATTCATAGAGCATTTATCAAAAAGTTGCATATTTTAAAAAATAAGTTAAGAAATCTATTATCACCCATAAGTAAGACATAGCCTTCTATAGGCTCCCGTAGCCTCCATACCAAGAGACATGACATGAATTCACGGTTTAACCCTGCGCAGGTTTGTATCGCTTTTCCTATGATTACCTTGACCAATTTTCCCTCACACTTCCTTAGGTATGACTCATGGTCAAGATACCGGACTTTCCCCACTTCCGTATATTATATACATCCACATCTATCCACGTGCGCTAATATATGCGCCTGGGTGCACTTCATCGACACCTGATTGGGGATTTCATCACCCAACCCTCTCCTCACTTACCATAGGGAGTATATAACAACATTCATGGGTACCGGACTCGGCCCGTCCCAAACGAGTTCACTTGTCGACACGGTTTCATACGGCCCACATAATGAGTGAGAAGGGTTTGGTCCTTATATATTCGTAGTCGATGTAGAGAGAGCTCAACCCACCCTAGTTCATCATCACATTCCATGAACTCTCTCTACACCGAATAATCAATTATCATCAATTAACCATTATTCATCGTCATCATTGTTCATTCAATTTAATTTAGAAAATAGAGTTTGATGCAAGTATTTTGGAAATATGTTCGTTTTATAAATCGATGTTTCATCTACATGACTTGCCTGTCCTTTAACTGTCACCGCAGATCCATCGGTAAACTCTGGATGTCCTTCAATGTTTTAGCATGCTTCCTGTAATTATAATAATTTATATATTGGTATTTAGTACAACAAAATATATGTATCAGCATATACGTGGAATTTACTTGGTCTGTGTCTCACCTACTGTCAAGATACTTCGTTAGTCTAAATTGTATTTTTGCTGTGATTTATAAGAAATATATTGCACATGGAAAATTATTTGGACACTAGATTAATTAATATCCTTAACCCTTTTCCTTTCCTTTTCTACTCATGAGCTGATCCAACGCTGACTAGAACCATCCTGCTGCCCCTGGTAAGTATGGAGTACTACTAGTGCTAGTACGTGTACAATTGAAACCCAAAAGTACTAGCAGGTCAGCAGGTAGCACACGCATCTCCGCCTCCTCTCTCTCTCAACTCTGCTTCACTTCCCCCTTCTACGACCATGGCGTTCAGGTACCTGCTTCAAATCGACGACCATGGCTAGGGTTCTTCCTCCTGCTACTACTCCAAATCAAGTCTTCAAGAGTTCTAGGTGCTATCTAGCTATTTTTCCCCTTCGATTTGGCCTCCTAGTGCCCTCTATTTTGGGATCCTCTCTGCTGCTCGACAGGGGTCGTGACCCATGGCTCACGGTTGCCCGTGCGCTAGTTGAGGCACGTGGGGTTGTGTGCCACCGGTGCCGGCCGTGAGCAGCGCCCAGGTCTACAGCTTGGTCGTTTGGTGGCTCCAGGTGGACCAGGTCAGTGCCGAGACTCCGTTCAGTGGGCAAGTTGAGTTCCTGAGCTGCTCCTTTACACCCTCCCTTTCTATGTCCCCTGCCTCCTTTAAGTGTATCACTACTAAATATCATACTCTAGTTCTACTTGTGCTGCTGTGATTTGTGACCCCTCTCTGAAATGGTGGGCTGAGAGATGACACTAGGAATTAGTGATGTGTGTTTGTGCTGTACACACAAGCTAAGGTCCTTCGCTGATGTGCGCTTAGGAGAAATCGCCTAGTGTTGGAGAGTCACCTTTGTTTTGGGGACGAGCTCGACCGAGGCCACAAGCACACGAACATGGATGTGGCATCCTTGTGCTTGTGCAACACCATGTTTTGTGCTTGGTTAGCCCACCGACTGCTTCTCCTGATCTCCTCTGCTGGTCCGTCCTCCCCTCCAACTCCTCCTCTACTCCTTGGGTCTTGGCTACTGGTATATGATTTGGTGGTTACCAGAGACTTGCTGGTGATGACTAGCTGGAGAAACCGTGGATGGTTTTGTGTCTTTGGATTTTTGACTGGAATAATGTTTACTTGCTTTCTTGCTTTGTTCTCCTCTCCAGGAGGTCTTCGGCTATTTGGTCTGGTTCTTGGCTTCCTCCAGGCTCTTCTTATTTGCTCCCCTTTAGACCTACTCCCCAAGTCCAAGCCTGGTCAAGGCACTTCACTGTGTCGTCCGGCTGCTGCTACTGGATTGGCTGGCACCCTTCTAGAAGGGTATGGCAGCAGTAGCTGCAGTGAAATGTACTACTATATACTACTATATTGTAACTGGATGGGAGAGAGGAAGGTTTTGTGTTATCTTGTAAAGCTACATTGATATGCATATGTACATAATTAGTTCCAAGAATTAATATATGATTTATGTATTTTCATGTCAAGGTGTATCAAATTACCAGCTTGATGTAATGGAGATAAATTTAATGTTTATTTAATTGTCATTAATTATTTGTTAAAAAGGTGGGTCCTTACATAGCAGTAGCAGTGAACTGGAACTCTTATCTCATGAAGTGGAACTGCATTTTCTTATCAATTGAACTGCTATCTCATGAAGTGGACTTAGATGTCTGGATTTTCTAGTCAATTGAACTGCTATCTCATGAACTGCATTTTCTTATCAATTGAACTGCTATCTTGTGTAACATCTCAAGTTTAAGAACTCACAATACTAGCAGTAGCAGTGCATTTTTTTACTGAAGATGGACTTAAAATACCAACAGTTTAAGAACTCACAATACTAGCAGTAGCAGTGGATTTTTTTATTGAACTTGTTTATTATTATTGCTAGATGACTGCCTCAAGTACTACCAGTGATCTTATTTTGGAACCCTTCTTTTTGTAGGGATAAAGACACACAAGGTGGTTTCATGAGGTACTTTGGCAATCAGCCACATAATTTTCATTTGGTTGGTGCACATTGTATTCCTGAAACCAATGGTGGAAGTTTGCCATCAGAGGTGGAACTCTTATCAGAGCAGCACCCTGTTCTAGTCAATGGCGAGAACGAAAATGTTAGGACTGAGAAGTGGATTATGTGGACACCAAACGAAGACGAAAGATTGATGAGTGCTTGGATTGAAAATTCAACGGACTCAGCCACCGGAGCCAATAGGAAGAGCGAAGCATATGGGGTGATGTTATCAAGGCATACAACAAGGACACCCCACCGCAAAGCCCTGTTTTCAGGACGTCCGATTAATCGCGACTAATCGTCCTGGACGGTTTTAGCAACTCGACCAGGGCCTCCGAATAGGCCAGACTGTCCAGGAAACTAGTCGTCCGATTAATCGTCGTCCAGCCACGATTAATCGCCCGTCTAGGCTGTGCTAGTCGTCCAGCCCGTCCAGCCTGAGAGTGGGCTGTATCTGAGAGCTGGGCCTATTTTATATTTTGGCCCAAGCCCATTAGGGTTTCCCTTTCCTACCCCCTCACTCCCTCAGCCTCTCACTCACACGGCAGACACACTCACTCTTCAGTCTTCTAGTCTCTCACCTCTCCCAGTCCAGCAGCAGCCCTCCCTCTCCCTTCCAGCTGCTCCTCCTCCTTGTGGTTGCTGCAGTGCTACAGGCACGCAGGCCTGTAGATCCAGCGGGTGCAGAACTGCAGATCCAACTGTGCAAGGGAGGAAGACTGCACGAAGAATATGAGCTCCTCCTCAGGTCAGTCATCACCTCCTCGTTCAATCTTGGTGCTTTGAAGCTTGAAGCTCCGTTTCTGTGTGTAGATCTAGATTGACAGAGGCAACGTGCAGTGCAGTGGAAGCTCTGTTTCCATATTTCCTTGCTAATGTGCTTTATTTTTCTATAATTTCAGTTTGTCAGCAGCAGCCAGCAAGACAAGAAAGGGCTCTGCAGCAGCCAGGTAAGTGGCCAACTGACCTATCTAGAGCCCAGAACATGTAGTATATTATTAGTGTGTGTATATTAGTTTGAGTAACTATATAATATATATGGTATATCAGTTCCCCATATATAGGGGACGACCAGGACGACCAGGGGACTCGTCCAGGGTCGATTAATCGTCCTGGACGACGACTAATCGTCCTGGACGTTCTGGACGGTCCCCAGGCGTCCAGACTCGACCAGCCGTCCTGAAAACATGGCCGCAAAGGAAAAGGAATGCAAAGCAAGCCAAGGATCGATGGCACAAGATTAATAGGTGGTGTGACCTCGTTGAATCTGATTATTTGAAGGCTCGCAGGGTGTTTACAAGTGGCTACTCTGATCAGATGTGGATGGATGCAGCCGACGAGTTCTATTTGGATCACAAGCTAGGACCCTTCATGATTAAGAATGTTTGGAAAATATGTCGTGATGTGGCGAAGTGGAAAACATACAACGAAGAGCTGAAGAACGCTCGTAAAAGGAAGTCATATCACCTCGAAGAAGACGTGGAAAATGTTGAAAGTGAAGATGAGATGCCAAAGTGACCAATTGGACAAAAGGCAGCTAAAAAGGCCGCTCTTGCTGCAAAAGGCAAGTCAAAGGCAATGGGATGATGGAAAATCAAAGGAATCCGCAATTCATGTGGAAAAGCTTGATAAATTGAGCAAGTCCCAAGAAGAAGCTATTACAAACCGCATGAAGGTGCTAGAGCTGGAGCAGAAGCTGTCTTCCGATAAGATTGAGACCACAAGGCTTGCCCATTTAGCAGCACAGGAGAACAGAGAGTCAAAGAAACTTGAGATGGAGGGGAGGAGGCTTGAGATGGAATCAAAGAAGCTTGAGATGGAGGGGAAGAAGCTTGAGAAAGAATCAAAGATGATGGATGCATATAACAACCTCATCTCACAAGATACTAGTTCAATGACAGACGACGAAAAGTCTGAGCGAGTTGCTGCCATGAAGTGTTTGAGAAAGATGCTTTTTCCTGAAGTTATATAATTTGGTATGTGCTCTTCCTGTATAATCTGCAACTGCGTTGTAGTGTCCAGTAACTAAAATCCTTGTACTGTGTTTCAGGGAAGCAAGAGAAGGTACTGCTACTGCTACTGATCTGTTGGAGGTACACAAAGAAATGGTATGTATTCTTCCATGTATCTGAGAATTGTTGTAGCTTCTTCTGCTCAGTTAATAAAAATGCTGCTGTGAAAGTATTCAATAGAGCAGTCTTGTATTGTTGAATGGTGTTGTTTCAGTTCAGAAATTATCGCCTTGCTGTCAAATGTCTTTCCCTGTTGTAAACTGAATTATGTGCTTTCAGTTAGCAAGTTTCAGTGTACTTATAAAAGTAGCTTATTTTTTGAACTTCTGAAGTTTCTGAATTATCCAGCATATGTGGTACTGTTGCTGTCATCCAGTGAATTACCTCTCTGTAGTGAATTATGAAGTTTCTGTGTAACACTTGCTTAATACTTGCTTCTTTCCTTTTTTTACTTATGTTGATTATTTTGCCATTGCTACCATTTCTCTCTCGTTGAGCTTTTTCCATCCAAGTTTAATAAGCTGTATGTCTGTTTACAGGAAAATGTGAATGCTCTGGTCTTTTCGTTGTTGTTGCTGGTACATCCTGTTGCTCCTCATGAAGGGTTGTCTTTTGTTGCTGTTGCTTGTACATCCTGTTAGGTTGTTACTCAACAAAAGAGGAGAAGCAATTGAAGGACTGAGATGTTAGCATGCTGTTGAACAAGAGCTGAGATCATGTCATGTTGTTGCATGCTGTATTTTTTTTTTGTTTTAAATGATGTGAGTTAAATATTGGTCATGTCAAGTTGCTCGACACATTATGTTACCTGCTATCAAGTTATCTAGCTTATATTTTGTCTATGTGATCATGCTGCCTGTGTTTAGGAGTGTTTATGTGATCAACTAGCCACACATAGTATATAGGAATCATATTTATACTTGGTCATGGATATATGAAAGCATTAAATAGCTTGCAGACAGACAAATAGACAGCCCATTGTACGATCTGCCTGTTTAGCTATATGTGTGTCGGATTCCAAGAACATATAGATAACCCCCTGTGTCGGATTCCAAGAACATATAGATAACCTCTATCTGTGGGTTGAACATGCCCTTAGCACAACCTTCGCTTTTCCTTTAATCTGTGGGTCACCCTCGGCCTTAACTCCTAGCGAGGATAGGAGACAGAGCGAAGCACCCTACAGTTGACGCCGTCTATGGGACCCTACCGTACCACACAACTAATCGGACATGGCTCCTCGTAGACCCTTAAACAGAGAACCGATGCCTTCCATGCTGAGCTCTTGGCCTGCCTTGCTGTTCTGCTGGAGAGGCGGCCAGAATGGGGATCTTCGCGCATTTGCATTGAAACTGACGCGACCCTAGTGAAAGCAGCAATTGAGGAGGATGGACACCGGCTGTCGGCAGTTGGGGGAAATCATCGCCCCGTTTGCTTGCTTATAATCCGTATTTTTTCAGTGAACGAACAATATTTTTCTCTCATAATAAATTAGCCAATAGTACTTTTAGCCATGGCTTATCAGCCAAGCGAACAGGTGATCACCGAGCTTAAGCACTTCGGCCCCGTTCGCTTGTCTTAAAATCCGGCTTGTTCGACTTCTTTTTTCAGCCGGAACAATGTTTTTCTCTCACAACAATTCAGCCGGAGCAACGTTTTTGCTTGTTTTTTCAGCCAAATTCAGCTAAGCGAACGGGCCGTTAAATGCAGAGTTTAGTTCATATAAAATAAGTGTATGCGTGATTGTAACAAAGTAGCTCATGCTTTGGCTGCGTTTGGGTGTAAGTACCATAGTGGACAAAATGGCACTTGGGAAGGTGTACCTCTAGAAATTGAGGATGCGGTGACCAGTGATTTAGCTGGTTCGATGAGTAATGAAAAGCATCTTGAGGACTAATGAAAAGCATCTCGAGTTTTATTTTATTTTATTTTATTTTTTAAACGAGTTCCAAACCAGGGGTTTAATTAGTGCAAGACAAGAGTGACGAATTTGCCGAGGCCTATCACACGAAAACCCAACAGGCCGCAGACCCCGACGCACCCCTGGAGGCCACCGCCTCGCTGCCTTCCCTAGCACCGGCGGCCGCTCCGGCGGCCCCGGCACCCACCACCGCCACCCCCAGGTCCTCCCTCCCGTCCTGCCTCCCAAACACCACCCTCCAGCCGGTGCCAGCGGAGCTCGGCGCGCCCAGGCCATGAGGCGCACAGGAGCTCGCCGGGCCGCCGCCCCCAGCAGCCGCCACCACCCCTCGCGTCGGAGGTTGTTCCGTCCGTGGAGCTCGTCTCTCCAAGCTCCTCCCATCCATCCTCCCCCAGATCCCTCCCACAGCTGTCCCCGGAGCTCCATCGCCAGCCAGATCTAGAAGAGCGGCTTCGTCCTCTCGGATTGGAAGGGATGCAGACCGTGCGTCTCTCTCCTCCCCCTCTCCCAGCCACCACAGCCTGCTTGCGACCGCCCTGGCGCCGGCAGCCACCTCCTCCACCTTCTCCCTCCCTCCCCTCGCCATCCCCTTCTTCCCTAGCTGCACATCGGCGGGCAGATCCAAGGCCCAGCGATGGGAAGCAGACTCCTTCGCTGGCGACTCCGACTACCAGTCCGACGGCGCGTCCCCAGCTGCGCCCTACCTTGAAGCTGCTTGCCGGGCCTTCTCGGTTGAGACTGCTCCCACGGCGGCGGCGGCGAGCAACGTCAACACCACCGTGGTGCAGGGCTCCGGTCGGGCTCCCATGGAAGGCCCTGACGCTGCAAGGACGAAGAGCCAACACCGTTGACGCAAGCCCAGGCGCCCCACCGGTGGCACCATCCTCGGCGGACCGGCTGCCCCTCCGCCTGCTGGCCAGCGAGTGCCCGTTCAACAGCGGCTTGGGGCCCTACGCAGGGACTCGACCCCCAATGCCGACAAGGGCGGGACCATCGGCACCAAGGGGCGGCGCAGGCAACCCAAACGTCGCTGAGCACGACCTCAGCTCCTCCATGGGCTACCTATACGCGGCAGGGACGCTGGTGGCGGAGCCTTCGTGAGGGATGCCAAACGGCGCTTGCCGGTCCATCAGAGGCTCGAGCCACGTGCACCTGCCAGCAACCGCCGTCGCATCTCCGCACCAGATGTGGATGGCTGGAGCAAGGTTCTGCCACGAGGGCTGACAGGCGGTGGTGATGGGACAGGACCCAAGCGATTGGTGAGCCGTCGACCTCCAAAGCGCATCCCGGCAGATCTGCACGGCAAGTGCCTCAATTGCCTCTCCTCCGTGCATTGGGTGGCAACTTGCAAGCTGCCCTAGCGTTGTCTGCGCTGCAAGGGATTTCGACACATTACGTGCGACTGTAAGCAGCCACAACATGCGGGCTCTGGGAGCTCAGGTGATGCAGGTACTGTGGATCGCCAGCCACACTGCTCGGTTTGTGCTCGTTCGTGCTCGTCCAGCGGATGAGGGTGGTTTGCAAGACTCTGGTGGGGTCGTGCTGGACAGCGCAGACGTGGGTCGCTGGAGCAGACGTCATGGGCGGTCCACAAGGGCCACCCCGGCAGCGCCGGACGACACCGATGCTGCTGATTCAGCCCAGACCGGGCACGGTGAGCGGACCAGCGAGGCGATCCTTGTCGACCTCGACCCACTGATGCTGACGTCGTACCCAGATGCCACTCGTGATCGTAACATCGCAGAGGGCCCGATGATAAAGGAGTTCGCGGCATCGCTCACCGGCAGTCACATCATCGTGTGGACTCCACTTGAGCGCCTGGCGTCAGCTCCGACGCCCCCCTAGCTGGAGGATGAGGCCCCGGCGGCGGTGGTCACCGATGTCTGCACCTGCGGCCTCGCAGGAAGTCAGGGGACGCCCTCCCAGCATGTTGGCTCAGAGCTGCGGACTCCACCCCCGCGCCCCACTCAGTGGGCAGTGGACTGTCATCCGACGTCGCCTCAGCAGGGGAAGACACAGGTCACGCCAATGCGGTTGGTGCAGAATGCCCCCTCGGGCATTGAGGCACCCATGGAGCACAAAGAGGGCTACCCACCAGGCTTCGGACCGGTCGACCTCACTGCGGATGCTGACCCTCCCAGCACGCCGACGGTGAATTCCCACCAGGCCAAGGACAACGCCGCCTCCACCAACCGCCGCTCGAGAACTTCATAAAAAAAGTGACGTAAGAGGGCCTCCTCGCTGATTAAGGAGCTGCCCAAGCCGCCGCCTGCAAAGGTGGTGCTGCCGCTGCGAAGCAAGCGGCTAGTGGCGCAAAGCCTCTCTTGGGTGCTTGCTTCCAAGCGATGTGAGATCCTAATTATACAGCAATTGGGGTTGGTCACGGGTCTGTCAACGCCAAGCGCATCGGCGATGAAGGCCTATGAGGAGCTCTACGAGGTCGAGCCTAGTGCCTTCAATGTGGAAGTGCTGGAAGCGCTCTTCCACGACGTCGGTAAGGAGTCGCGCCGGCGGCAGCTTTTTCACAAGGCCTCTTCCTAGGCCGTGTCGCCGCCCTTATCCTGGTTGTCTATTATTTATATAATATCGAAATATGTATCTGTACGCTAGGATGCTCCACCAGCCCACGCCTGTAATCCTGTAGACCTCCTAGGGTGCTCGTCAGAAGCGCGTTGTTTGTATCAAACATTTCTACCTTAATTATAAATATATATAAATCTTTTGCGTATTCGAGAAAAAAAAGAATAACGAATTTGCCTCCTTTCTCTCCCCCCCGCTGCCCGTTCCCAACCACAGTGTCCGCCTTCCGTACGCGTTGCCCCCGCTGGCAGCTGTGGCGGCCGACGCTCTCGTGCGACGGCGTTCTTGTGGCATCGAAGCATTGTTTATAGTTTTTTTTTATATAACAACCATTGTTTATAGTTGTGCAAGAGCAGGCAAGTAACAAGGCCTGTTTGGTATCCAAACATCCTACAAATTCATAAGCTAGCATCCACAATCTCAAAAACTTAATGAACCTAGCTTCTATACCAGCTTATA